TACACACAGATATACAGGAAGTACACACAGATATACAGGAAGTACACGCAGATATACAGGAAGTACACACAGATATACAGGAAGTACACGCAGATATACAGGAAGTACACACAGATATACAGGAAGTACACACAGATATACAGGAAGTACAGACTAAAGGTCACACACTGTTGTAAATGCGTCCCCGTGGCTCAGTGAGGTTAGCCTGTATAAATAAAGGTTGAATGAATAAACTCCCTCAGTTCTGCACAGTGTAACTTCTCCACTTTAATATCTAGCGTGAAAAACATTAAGGTTCACTTCCAGTCCAGAAAACACTCACCTCCAAAACCACAAACATTCACTATTAGAATCTTTCAGGGTCGGGGGACATCAGCTGGTGCTTGTTTGCTTCAGTTAAGGCCAAGAGTTTCTCCAACACAAAGCAGTTGTTATTTTTCACATGATCACATTTGATGGTCAGGAGCCTAAAGCTTCACTCCGGGGGTGAATCAGCAAAAACAGCCATGGTTTGAACATTTACCACTGACCTGACGTGTGTTCAAGAATCCACGGAACACACTCTTTATTTTATTAGCTGAAACTAGTTAAAAATAAATCTCGTAAAAAAATGACCGTGCTGATACAGTCCTCATAATTCCTTCTATGTTTACAGGCTGGTCAAGGTTTAACGTGCGCACCGAGCCCTGCAGCCATTTGTTGTCCGTGTTTTTTATGGCGGGGGGTGTGATGTATCGGCGAGCGACGCTCTAGTTAATGACGGCGCTGTTTAAGGGTGGTGTCATTTGTCAGCGCATTGTGTAACCGCACTTTGACCCCCCCGATGGTGTGACAAGCGGCGAGAACGTGTGTCGTGTACGTCGGTGCGCTCGTATCTTTGACGCCGGGCCTTAATTAGCGCTGCTCAAACCTAATGCGGTCATTTGTGAGCATTACTGCGTTAGCGTGCTCAATTATCTGCCATCCTCTGCACTGATATGAACAAATGCTGAACCCATAACGTGAAGCTAACGGGCGTGTGCGGGGCTGATGTATCACGTTGCTAATTTTGTGATTACATTTTCAGTGACCAGACCTTTTCCTGCCTGCTAATTGCAGAAGGTTAAGTAGCAGCAGCCGTACAAATCTATTGGGTCCTGTTCCCAGAACAGGTCTGGTTTGTGTGTTGCAGGCCTCTTTAGTGCGCACCGATATGCAAGGTGTGTGTGTGTGTGTGTGTGTGAACTCTCGCCTCGTCCTATTGATGGCTCTCATATGACCGCCCTCTATAAAGTAGCATCACCATTAAAATGAAATACACGTTCAGCAGAGACTTTTTTACAACTCTAGTAAAAATAAAGTGTTTTACAGCATTATTGTTTTCAGGCGGTGGTAATGACAGAGACGAGCTGGTACTTTATGGAGATTTTATGGGGGGGGGGGGGTCTTCACTTCAATGAATCAGGTCATTATAGATTCTCACGCGATGTTCTGACCTGATAAGACC